AATTCACATTTTCTCAAATACGTTAAGGAATACAAAAATCCAGTGTCTTCCTCCCCCGCCCCATTTCTTTGCATTCTCCATCCTGTTCTTGGACTTGGCATCTTCTGACAAAGGTTTCCTCCCCCATCACCCACTTACCTCTGGATTGCTACATCTGTGTACTTCTGGATGACATCCAAAGCAGTCGAGAAGCCTCTCCAGGGTTGCCCTCCACCCCTGCGGACACCCTCCCCAGAGGAATGGCGTGAGAACATCCCCCTCTTCTGACTACTTTCTCACTCCAATCCCGCCCGGTTCTCGCCCCAAGCCACCCACTCTGCCTCTTGATAAGGAACGGGAGCTGGTGCTTTGAAAGAGCAAGGTCAGGAAGTCTCTGCGTGACTTACCTTTCCAGCAGGTAAGATTCTCACTGTTTTTCCTGCTGCTGAACCCAGTTGCAGGGAGGATTCTTTTCTCTTTTTCTTCCTTCTTGGCAGAACCGTGTACATGTTGTGGCTGGTTCATCTTCCAGCTCTTGATTCAAGACCACTTTGGGAACAGCTTTCTTCCAAGGCTAGGGGTATGGAATTGCTGTTCCTGCTCTTAGCAGGAGCTGCTTCATCTGGCAATGTTAAGAATGTATTTGTATGCTTGTGTCTCTTGTGAAGTTTAATCTGTTGATTTCAAATGCTGTTAAAGCAGCTATCAAGCTACCTTTTCTTTTTTCTCTGTTTATCTGGCAACTTTCTTTTAGTGGGGCAGAGCAAAGTAGGAAAAAAACTTGGAAAAAGAGCTGGAAGCAATTCTGAAGTGGCTGTCTCACAGATCCATCAGCCAGTTTTCAGTTTACCTAGTGATAAGTTTCAGATGGCACCATATTGATTGCATGGTTGATGGGTTATAGATTTATATATTATATATCTCTCTCTCTATATATATAATAGTTATATATATTTATATAGTTATAGATCCCCTTTGCACATCCCCTTTGCACATTGTGGTTTGGTTTGGTTTGGTTTGGTTTTGTAAAACGTGATTTATGGGTTAAAGTGTTGGGCAAATGGCAATCCAGTTGGGTTGATAAACAAGCTATGGCATGGTGTGTTATATGAGCCCAACCATCATCTCTTGCAAATAATAAAACATCCAGAGTCAGTGGAATATCTAGATCTGATCTTTAATTACAGAAATTGGAATTTCTATCCTATTGAATTCAATGGGACTTTCCTATCTTGCAAAAAAGGGTAAGTTGGGGGAGCCAAAAGACACAACAGACATTTACTAAAATAACTTTTAAAATAGTTAGAAATAGTCTAGGGGAATAGAGTGAACAGCAGGATCAGAAGAATTCTTATTTAATAACCAATACCCAGCTGTTTTGAAGGTAGTCGCAAACTTTTTATCTACACCTTGTAGGAACTATTTGGTTTCTTCTGTGCAATGTTAACTTTATAGGATTTTGCACAGATAGATACTTATACATATATTAATGATGTACTGCATTTTTTAAAAAATTCTGACTTGGCCCTGGACCATAAATAAAAAATAAAATAGAAATCAGTTTTAAAAGCCAACTTTACTTGAGAGCACAGTATGGCCATGTTCAACTAGGGTTGGGTAATTTTTCAGCGAGTTGTAGGAACCTTGCCCTTCGCTTAGCGTGTGGATGACCTAAGCCATGATCTTGTATCATTGTAGCTTTTCTGTGCTACTGCACTTGTAGGTTGCTAACTTAGGTTCTGGATTTAGCAAGTTGCACAAACCTGGACAGCATTCTGCTGAAGTTGCTCAATGAGAGTCTTGTAGTCCACTCTTGAATAAAACTGCGTAGATGGCTTGGTCTGCAGCCTTGGCTTTGCAGCTGATTAACTTGTTATTTTTCAAAAAAAGGACAAAGAGCTGTTCCTGATTCTGGGGGTGAATGATGGTGTGCATCCCTTTCATTGATCCTGGGTTCTGTCTAGCGTTCTCCCTTTTCTTAATCAAATGAAAAGGCTTTTATTTAATTTATATACCAGGAGCAGACAGAACATACCTGCAATAGGACTAACAGAAGACAGATTTGGGAAAGAAAAGCCAGCTGTGTATCGGAGCATAGAAATAGCCCTGCTGGAGCTGGCCAAGACCATCTGGCTTTTGGCTGGCCAGAGGCTCCTGGATGCTCACAAGCAGGAGGTGGAGAGATTCCCTTCTCCCTCCATTGTTCCCCTGGTGCAACCCATCTTCGGAGGCTGTCCCCCACCCAGAGATAACAGTGAACTATCAAGGTTCGTAGTTTGGCACAGACCCATGAATTTATCCAACCCCTTTTACAACTTTTAAACAATACTCGTTGCCCCATCTTGTGGCAATGATCCCAGTTTTATGTGAATTTTATGTGAAAATGTGCTTTTGCTGTCTGTTTAAAGCAGTGTTTCTCAACCTTGGCAACTTTAAGAGGGGAGGACTTCAACTCCCATATCAGGAAGAAGGCTAGCCTAGGATATTTTTTTTCCTGATGTGCGCCATTTCTCGAGGATTTAGATCCAGAAAGACATTTCAGCTTCTCCTTTTTTTTCCCCCAAGGCTGAAAAGGTATAGCGACAGCTTCCTTTCCCCTGCCCATAAACCGATACACTGCAAATGTTTTACCCAATTGTTATGATAGAGTGAACAAGCCGAGAGCTAATAGTCCTTGGCTGTGTTTGTGTATGTGTGTACATTGGTGATCTTGCCCTGCCACACGTAAGCCTCCGAGTCACCTTTTAATCATGTCAAGCTCATTGGTGGCGCAGACCGGGGCTTTCTAACTGGGCGTTGTCCAGTGAAGAGAGGATCACAACTCCCACGGTTCCCAGCAGGATTGTGCCAGATGGAGTTGGCTGCCTGTTTCGCCCCGATGTTCCTGGCCAGTTAAATGCAGGCCAAAGTGGTTAACCATTGTTTTGCAATTATTTATTTTTTTTACTTCCCTTTGTCAGCTTTTAGCCAAGTAAATATTACCGGGCGGAAAGAGGGCACCGATAGACTACAGAAGGGCCTCCAGCTTTGAAGGGATACATTCTCCTGACAGTGAATTTCCTCTCTGCAGAGGAGAGAAGGAGATTTTCTTGCACTGATTGGAACAAACCGGCCCAAAAGCTGAAGGCCACGTGCCTTGTTCTCTCTGCCTTCTCTGTACGGAGACTCTCTGGGATTAAATCTTTTGGTGCATTAAAAAAAAGCTTGCATTTAGAAAAATAGCATGATGTTTTTAGCTGGGTGTTTTTCGGTTCTTTTGTGAGTTTCTCACAGCAGATAAGGGTCAACGATCGAAATAGGAAAGTTGATGGGAGTGGGTTGGGTAGTGATCCTCATTGGGGGTGATGGATGAGGGATTCAGGAGCCGAGGTTCAGGTGAAGTGGGAGCCAAATGACAGGGCTGGGAAGCTTGGAATCCGAATGTGCTGAATCCAGGAGGGAGTTACAAAGCAACCCCCAACTCAGAGCCCACTTTTGTAGCTGTTCTGGTATGTGGGAAGTCTCTCCTCCCTGGGCGGAAAGAGATGGCAGAGAAACAGGTTTGCTGCAAACAAGAACAAGCAAGGAATCAGGGGTGTCTGCAGGGTATGGTCAAAAGATGACAGCCTTGATGGTGCAATTGAAGCTCCTCCTGGTTTTTAATGTTCCTCTGGATCTTGGGAACAGGCACAACATTCCTTGAAATCGATAAATGTGGAACCAGGGATGCCAGTCTGAAGATGCCAGAGCCAAATGGCTGCTGTAACTCTGCCACACAACTTCTAAGCTAATGTTTCTCAACCTTAGCAACTTTAAGATGAGTGGACTTCAACTCCCAAAATTCCCCAGCTGGCTAAGCCTTGGATAGTGTTAACTTTGGTTAAGTTGTGCATGTGGGTATGTATCTGTGGGTTTTGTGTGATGTGCAGAACCAGTCATTTCGTTTGTTTATGGCTCAGTATATTGTGAGAACCCAGAACATGGGTGAATTCAGTAACCAGGTTAAACATATTGGAAGAATGCAGCCACGGATTCCTCAAACTGGGTCAACAGCAGCATTACTGTGGCATGGAACGGTCTTACAAGCCTACCCCTTCCTCCAACTTGTCCTTTAAAGTGTAATACACTAGATGTGTTACTTCTGGACAACCCCTGTTGTTCTTTCTCAGACAGCTGCTGCCTGGCTCTGAGGAGCTGATGGAGGTAGACAAGGACTCTCGGTTTGAAACAGCGCCAGCCAGGGTGCCCTGAGATGGGCGCTTCCTGATCCGTAGCACCTGCATCATGCAGAAATCCTCAAAGCTGCTCCTCCTGTTTCTTCTGCTCCACCAGAAAATAGAGGTGAAGTGTTTGAGAATGCGTGCCTCTCTTTGGTTCTGCTGTTTTCAACTTGGCTGCAATTCTCTTAGACACCTAGGTAGCATAGTTACCTAGGTGTCATCAAGCTGAATGGACTCCTGGAGACCGCAGGGATGAACACTTGCCTGCCTGACTTGTCTCCAGCTTTGACTTGTCACAAACATGCCAATGATGTCTTTGAGCCCCTCCATCCATCCTTTGTTTCATTGTCTTCCCTTTCTTTTCCTTCCCGCAAACTTACCAAGCGTAATCGTTTTTCCAACTCCATCATCTGCTTATATCGCAAGCCCAAAGTATGTGAGTTTCTGCTGGTGGTCATCTCCAGAAAGCATTCAGCCAGAGGCTCCTTGCAGCCCACGATACTTTTGATAAGAGTCTCCAGACCAAATCCATAATTTATTTTTTTAGATTTTTTTATGCCACCTTTATTATTTTTTATAAATAACTCAAGGCGGTGAGCATACCTAATACTCCTTCCTCCTCCTATTCTCTCCACAACAACAACCCTGTGAGGTGAGTTGGGCTGAGAGAGAGTGATTGGCCCAAAGTCACCCAACTGGCTTTCATGCCTAAGGTGGGACTAGGACTCAGACTCCTGCTTTCTAGCCTGGTGCCTTCCCACTAGACCAGTGTTTCTCAATCTTGGCACCTTTAAAACATATGGACATGCTGGCTGGGGAATTCTGGGAGTTGAAGTCCATAAGTCTTAAAATTGCCAAGACTGAGAAACACTGCACTAGACCCAACTGGCTCTATTCTAATTGGAATCTAACTAATCTATTTGGTTCTAATTAGAAGGCATCAATCTTCTTTCTCTCGCTTTCTCTCAATGTCCAGATCTCACCAGCTTACTTTGCTGCCTGAAAGACCACTGTTTCAACTTTCTGATCTTAATTGCAGCATATCTAGGAACATCGCTATTTGCAGGTCCTCTTCCACTGTTAGTCCCCATCCGGTCCAGGTGTTTCCTAATGCAATCCAAAACTTGCAAAATTGCAGTAGTTACATCATGAGAAGTTGGAACAAGCTGGTGTCATCTTTGAGTGCAACCATCTTAAGTGGTTCTCAACCGGGGGCCATATAGCCCCCTGAGGGCCCTAGGATATTTCAAGGGGGCCACAGGTAGAAAAACATGTAACAGAGGGGCCATGGTACGTGGTGAAGGGGCCACAGAAAAGCAGATACTGCAAACACTGTCTTGTTGATGCCAGAAGATGCACGAATTACTGTCCCATGTCCATATCCAGTAATGGGACCTGGATAGGGGGCCACAGGAGAAAAACAAGGTTGGAAGGGGGCCACAGGTGCAAAAAGGTTGCGAAACACTGCTTTGGAGCTCACTCCTGATAGAAAATACAGCCCCCACCCCATGTCGACAAGAAACCTGTCTACCCCTGCTCTAAACATGCTCTTAAAGAGCTATTTCCATGTTTGCAGCTTAGTTTCTCACCTCCAAAATGTGGGTGTACTTATCTTTTCCCTCCCTCCTATGTTGCAGTCTCGCACCACTGGGTATTCCACTAAAGATATGTTGGAGGCATGGCAGAGATACCAAGAGGCCTGCATTCGCAAGATGATGGAAGACCCTCAACCAACAGGTACAAAAGACCCTTTCCCAGGCTTGTGAATAAATGTGAATCTCAGGCTTCTCCCCATATAGTTTCTCCCTTCTCAGCCGTCTCCAGTTCCTGTTCAAATGATGTTAATAAAAACCAACAGCTGTATCCTGCAGGTGACGTGCACATTGGAAACATGGGCCAGTTGGCCCCAACAGCAAAAGTGAACTCTGTTTTCTGCACCTTACTGCATTGTTCAGGAAGGCATGGATGAGTCAAGAGGTGCTATCTGTTTTGTAAATGACACGCTGTTCTGCCTGTGGGTATATTTGCAAGACGTTAATCAGTGTCAATGTTCACACCCAGCCAAAACTGGGTGTAGGCTGCACCAGTGCTGCCAAAATGCGGAACTTTGTACTGGTTTTCAAAAAGGCAATTTTGAAATCTTGGCCTTCATATTAACCAAGACAAGCGTCAAGCCCTCAGTGGAGGGGGCTGGGGTCTTGAAAACCTATGGAGCGAATCTTGCAGTATCTCAGAAGCCCAAAAGATGGTGCAATGTGCTTTTTGGGCGTGCGGATGGAGTCAGTCTCAAGGCTTGTTGTAATATTTTTGCTTTTCTCCACATGGAACAGAATCTATTATGCAAAAGAAACAGGTATACGTGCACGAGAAACAGTTTTCTTGGCACAAATGCTATCAAGGAAGAATACGTTGCACATCTTTTATTTTCAGATACAAATTATTTCACACCCTTCAGCCTGAGGGCTAGATATATTTGTTCTCCCAGGGCTTTTGATATATCAATAAGCTAATAAAATTTATGCTACAATGGAACTTTTAAATCTGATTTTGTGGTTGCTGGCTCTGTTTTTATCACTGCTGCGTTGTATATTTCTACCCACTTTGGAAAAGTGTTTTATGTTGTGTTTTTTCAAGGGCCTGCAAACAACCCCAAAAAGCTTTAGCCTTTGGCAAGCAGCCTATAAAACGCTGAAAGAAAGAATGAATGTGGGACACCAGTGGGTGTGTTCTCCATTCTTCATGTGGTCAGTGTGGTTGATTTCTTGCCATGTTCATTCCCCCTCTTCCTCCTCTCTGTTGTGTTGCAGGCCTGGTGTGCAACCGTACGTTTGACATGTACGTTTGTTGGGACGATGCCCTTCCCAATACATCTGCCCAAGTTCCTTGTCCCTGGTATCTCCCTTGGCACCAGCAAGGTAAATGCCATTTGAGGCAGGTAGGAAGTCTTGATGGACATGTTAGAGAAATGGGTATAAGTAGCTGGTGATTCCTTCTTCCTTTTGTCTTCTATTACAATGAGTTCAAAATATCTTCCTTCCCTATTTTTCTACTTGTTTCTTTACCCCCTCCCACGCCAAAGGCTACTCACCCCTCTGTTCACCCCAAATGACATTCTGCTTTCCCCTTTCTTAAAACTAACTTTCCACTCCTGTCCTTTTCCCTTTCTGTTTTACCTTCTGGCAAGTATTTTAGTACCCAAAAAAACCTCCCTGCTTTATTCTACAGCAGTGTTTCTCAACCCTGGCAGCTTTCAGATGTGTGGACTTCAACTCCCAGAATTCCCC